GGAGGAGCAATCTGGAGGAGGCAATCCGTGGAGCAAATGAAAAGGGAAACAGGGTAAGAAAAATGGGGAGAAAGGCGAGAGTAGAAGGCATACAAAGGCAGAGTAACAAAATAGATGTGTGGCACTGGTAGTGGGCCCAAGAACAAAAATGAACTGGCAAGGAGAGTTGTGAGCAGGGTATAAGTAGGGTCAGGTGAACGGCTAATTGAGTGCAGCTGGTGTTGATTGAGGAATGTGTGGAATGTAGCATGATCAGAAACCGAAAACAAAGAGAGGGAGGTGAGAGAGGCAGGTGCAGCTGAGCAAACCTGACATGTGTTTGCTAATGCAAAATCAAACCTCTTCTTGAACAGTTGGTATGACACATGTAGCGGCAACTTGATGCAGTTTACACACGTTTTCGCAACAGGGAACATTGGTGTAGAGGAGAAGTCATCATCTCCTTTATGAATGAACTCAACAGAAGGAGTTGGTGAAAAGCCAATAAGTGGTACCACAGATGCTCTGTTGCAAAGACCAGTATCTTCTGTAGTTTTGATGGCCCTTCCTCTTCTTAAGCAAAAATAGAAAACATTATAATTCATAGTTGGTTTGATTACTGTGCATTTGTGTATTGTTGAGGAGCTGCCAGATTGTTCTATGCCTCATCTAGACTCTCCAGCATTATTTCCCTGTGACTGCTTTTCTGGTAGTGATGTCCAATTGACACCATGACACCAGTATTGAACCACTTCATCATTTGTATCAAGTATTGGTTCATTCATTCAAAGGTTTGGTTTGGTGCCATCTGGTGGCGAAATAGTATGCAGCAGAACAATGTCTGAATTATGTGATGGGTGTAACTAGGCTTTGTGTGAATGATGTGAAAACATTTGTAAAGACTGATTGGTCAGTCAGTCCAGTCTATGAACGTATGTAGTGTAGTAGGTGGGAGAAGGCGTGCTTGGGGAAACAGAGGATGTGCTAGGATGTAATATGTGCGTATGTAACTAGGACAGGGTGTGAATAAATAAAAGGGATGGAGAATCAATCATTTTTACTCCTAGCTGGCTCCATGGTCATCACACACCAGCAGCAACTACGCACACACCTACTACGCCAACAAACCCACATGTTGCGCATCATCTTGGGTGGCTTTATAGCACCCCTATGCACCTGCTGACACACGCAGCGAGATCTCACGTCGTGACATCATATCGACGGTCTGAACCGGTCATGGGAGTCACTCAGGCCAGCTGTTTCTGCGTCGGACGTCATCAGTCACGTGTCTTTTCGGCAATGATACAAGCCTCGAGGCAGTGGTTCGCTGGAGATCCCTCTCCCGGTTCGACTCATGTATCGAGGCCTTGGTGTCAGATGGCCATCACTATTTTCTGGTACCGAACCCTTGCCTGCTCTAACGACCTGTAATCCAGCCTGCTCCCTCTTGCCCGACTGCCATCCTGAGATCAACATCCTGCCTGTTCTACTAACCTGTGATTCTGCCTTGCCTTCCCTGCTGCCCTGCCAAAGACTTAGACCTTGGACCATATCAAGTACCACTCTTTTGTCTGATCCCTCAAGACTGTGTGTATTTCTGTTTCAATCACAGAAAGACATTAAAACCTGTTCTACTGCCTCAGCTGACTGGCTCTTTAATTGGGTTCACACTTCCACCTTCACAGGAGCGTCACCCCCCTCCCTGACACTACAATCTGGCCAAATATGAACCCAGCCAGCAGCGAGCTCCGTGAATGGCAAGAGCGCATTGAGCGGGCCCTGGCCACTCACAAGGCTGCTGTGGGGACAGTATAAACCATGGTACATGGTCTGGCTCACGAGGATATGCCTCGAGGTGCCGCTGCTGGGACTTCGGTACAGCATCCAGTCACCATGCCAAATGTCCATGAACCCAGGATCCCACCCGGAGCGGTACGGCAGAGGGAGCGGGGACTGCTGTTCTTTCTTGACTCAGTGTGAGATACAGTTTGAGTCCCAGCCCTCGGCTTTCCCCATGGAGCAGTTGAAGGTCACTATCGTTACTGATGGGCCGAGCACGCAGGTGGGGCACAGCCGAGTAGGCCAACCGATCTGACTGCTGTGCTACATTTCAAAGGTTCGGGGCGGAACTAACGAGGATCTTTGACCCACCCAGCCATGCTACAGCCACTTCTCCCTCGCTATGCACCTTGGTACAAGGGAACCGGACAGCAGTGGATTATATTATTGACTTCCGCAACGCGGCTACCAGTATAGAATGGAATGAACCCGCGTTGATTGACACCTTCTATGGAGGATTATCAGACAGACTGAAACATGTGCTCACAGCATACAACCAGCCAAGACACCAGCGGCCACTAATGGGTCTGGTAACCAGAATAGACGGCCGATACAGAGAGAGACAATCCAAACGGAGACAGCACCAGATGCCCCTCCAGGATTTCGTCCGGACAGCAAAGGAAAACCTCGAACCCATGAAACTGGGCCACTCCCGATTAACCCTGGAAGAGAGAGAACGCAGATTTAGGTTGAACTTAGGCGTTGGGACAGCACATATGCCTATACTGTGGGGAGCCCGGCCATCGGGCTTTGTCTTGTCCAGCAAAGGGCAGAGGCTCAGCAGGATGGGGAGGATGTTGCTGAGCCGAGAAATAGTGAACACACCTGCCTCCCGTCCCAGCATTACGGCCCAGCTCTCCTATGGCACCAAGACCATCCCTGTCCCCATTTTCATCGACTCCAGGTCCGATGCCAGCTTCATCGACCCGACGTTTCTTCATCAGCACCCCATTCCCAGCAACCCCATGAGTAACCCGCTCCTGATTCATTCTCTTAACAACAAGCTCCTGCAACGTGTTACCAGTCACACACCACTGCTAATCCTCTCTATCAACAGGGAAACAATTGACTTCCTTGTAATGCAGTCCCCATATCATCCTGTGGTCTTGGGCTTTCCTTGGCTGGCAAGGCACAGGGCCAAGATCGTGTGGGCCACAGGAAAGATAACAGAATGGTCACCACAATGTGCCACCCATTGTCTGCAAGCAGCTACCAACCAGGGGGCAGAGACCGAGCCAGAGCCAGACGTGTTCCCCAACATATCCAAGGTCCCACCTAAGTACCTGGACCTCAAGCAGGTGTTCAACAAGGCTTGAGCTACAGAGCTACCCCCCCATCGACCATATGATTGTCCCATTGAACTACAGCCAGGTACCACCCCCCCTAGGGGCAGGCTATTTTCACTCTCCCCTCCTGAATGCAAGGCCATGACAACATACATTACAGAGGCCCAGAAGGCCCGGTTGATTCGATTGTCTTTGTCCCCTGCAGGGGCAGGGTCCTTCTTTGTCGGCAAGAAAGACTACGTCCATGTATTGACTATTGTGGTCTCAACAGGATCACCATCAAGAACCCTTACCCGCTACCACTCTTGTCCACCGCCTTTGAACTTCTTCATGGGGCACAGATATTCACTAAATTGGACTTGAGAAATGCCTATCATCTGGTATGTATGAGGGAAGGGGATGAGTGGAAAACAGTGTTCAACACACCGTCAGGCCATTTCGAGTATCTTGCCATGCCCTTTGGACTCACTAATGCCCCCTCTGTGTTCCAGAACCTGGTCAATGATGTGTTAGGGGATATGCTGAATAAATTTGTCTTTGTATACCTAGACAATATTCTCGTATTTTCCCAGAACACAGGGCTCATGTTCGAGCAGTGTTGCAACGCCTCCTTCAGAACAACTTGTTTGTAAAAGCTGAGAAACGCTGCTTCCACGCCAGAACAATCTCCATCCTGGGCATTGTCATTTCTCCAGGGCACATTGAAATGGACCCCGCCAAGAACAGTCATGATATAGACAAAACACAAGAAGACATAGAAATATTTAACATGAGGGATGTTATAAAACCCACTGAGATAGAATTTGTCAAGACAAACAAATGTGGCGTTGGATAAAGTAGCAGCTTTCTCTTGTATGTGCATTTTTTTCACTGAGTGTTAAAATAAAAAACACAATATATAATAAAGGATGATACAGTTCATTGAAGGGAACTGTTATAACTGAATTGACCTCAGACAGCCTCAGGTGTGGAGTTTCCTGAAGTGAGAGACCTGTCTTATATACAGTCAGGGAAAAAATTATTTGAACCCCAGCTGATTTTTAACCATCAAATCTTGGGTGAGAACCTCCTTCCCTCAGTCAGGGCATTGAAAATGGGTCGTGGTTGGGTATTCCAGCATGACAATGATCCAAAACACACGGCCAAGGCAACAAAGGATTGGCTCAAGAAGAAGCATATTAAGGTCATGGAGTGGCCTAGTCAGTCTCCAGACCTTAATCCCATAGAAAATCTGTGGAGGGAGCTGAAGGTTCGAGTTGCCAAACATCAGCCACGAAACATTAATGACTTGGAGAGGATCTGCAAAGAGGAGTGGGTCAGAATCCCCCCTGAGATGTGTGCAAACCTTGTGGCCAATTACAAGAAATGTTTGACCTCTGTGATTGCCAACAAAGGTTTTGCCACCAAGTACTAAAGCACATTTTGCAAAAGGATCAAATACTTATTTCATGCATAAAAATGCAAATTACTTTATAACTTTTATTTGCTAAATTACTAAACATGCTTTATAATATCAACCATTTGTTGTAATTCTGCCCTATTTCTACCCTGTGTCATTTACAAATAATTCATTCCTTTTCTAAAGAGCCCACTGCATCATTAAAATGATTATATAAGCTGAGATAGTTCCAAACTGAATTATATCACCATTTCATGATCATGTGACACAGCTACCTGCATTTATACTGTCCCAGAATGAAACGGATAAAATATATATAGCGTGTCTCTCACAGACCAGCTCAATTTACGGAACTGCACACTTGACACTGTCTGAAGTGAGTTCAGTTGCAACAGTTCCCAACAGTGAAAAGTCTCATCCTTTATTTTATATTATGTCATTTTCTCTTTTTACAACTAGTGAAAGAAACAAGGAACCCAGAAGAAAAAGTCGCTGCTATGTCTAATACAACTTTTGTTCGCCCTGCAAAATTCTATCTCAGTGGGTTTTATAACATCCCTCATGTTAAATATTTCTATGTCTTCCTGTGTTTTGTTTATATCATGACTGTTCTTGGCAATGGCCTGCTCCTCTCAGTGATTTACCTGGTCAAGACTCTTCATACTCCTAAATACATGATTGTGTTCAACCTGGCTTTAACAGATTTGTGTGGCAGCACTGCTCTCATCCCAAAACTCTTGGACACATTTTTGTTTGACAACAGATACATTGTCTATGAGGCTTGTTTAAGTTACATGTTCTTTGTTTGGCTCTTCTTAGGTGTGCAGTCATGGACACTTGTGATTATGGCATATGACAGGTTTATAGCAATTTGCTTCCCTTTAAGGTACCATAGTATTGTGACTAAACCAGCTATTGCTGCAATGCTGCTGTTTATGTGGGTTTTTATATCATGTCTAACAGCATGCAGTGCTGGGCTTCTTAATCGTATCTCATTCTGTGGTTCCTTGGTGATACAAAGTTTTTTCTGTGATCATGGACCAATGTATCGTCTAGCTTGTAATGACAACTCTTTAAGTTATCACATAGCAAATGTTGTCTTAATTGTTATTGCTTGTTTTCCTCCTCTTTTAATAGCATTAACATATATTTGCATTGCCATAGCACTGAGCAGAATTGCATCAAGAGAGGAACAAGTCAGAGCAGTGAAAACTTGTATTTCTCATCTGATTATTGTGGCTATTTTCTTCCTACCACTCTTGGGCACCAACATAGCTGCTCTGACCTCCTACCTCCATCCTAATGCCAGGATCATAAACTCTACTTTGACAAACACCATACCACCTTTATTCAATCCAATCATATACTCTTTAAAGACGGAAGAAGTGTTGAACTCTATCTGGAAACTTTGCAAGAACAAAAGATTGAGCAACATAACCTTTTCCAAAAAGGTAACTTCTTTGTCACGGTTGTATTGACACATCAAAAGTATTTAAATAATATTCATGTGTAACTTTTGTTGTTTAATTTCTTATTAGCAAGAAATGCCCTTTTATTTTTAAATTATGGGTGTTACGTGTTATTTTGTCAGTTACTCTATGTTGCTGTTGCAGTAGCCATATACAGGTCGGCCTTACAAAATAAATCAGGGTTTTGACTTTATGACTGCACTGCTTAAAGTGATGAAATATTTGGGTGATTATGTTACTTTACTTTTGCATAAAGATGCTAATATAAAGTATATATTGTGTTGAACACGAGTGAAAAAACACCAGGAGTTACCCTGCTCTTTTAATGAGACTCCTAGTTTGTTTTACTCCTTCCTAATGTACTCACCACAAGTCGGGGATGCCATATCATGAACCCTTACGTCCAAGAGGCTCTGATATAAGAGAAAATGAGGCCTTTTGGTGCATGTAGCGCATAAGCTTTCGTGCCATTGGGATAATCTCTACTCCCTACTAGAAGCTCTGGTATTATTTTTAGTTTTAATACATTTGATGAAAAATATTGATTATTTTTATTAAGCACTTGCATCAAAATGTGCACACTGCTGCGCTGGATGAAATGTTGCTTCGTTACAGTCTGCTAGCTCCCTGCACTTTCACAGAGATCTCCCCGATCTGCAGATGAGTCTTGCTTTACTTCAGATGTTGTAAATGGTTTTGGTGACTTGAAGGTTTTGGGGCAGCATTTTTCAACAAATATACTGGTCTTGCATTTTGTAATGAAGAAACATGTCACCCAGTGTAGCAGTGTGTTTCAGTGATCTGTCTTTGAACAACAACGGTTTATGAATTTAATAAGAATGAATAAGAGGATCCAAGTTGGAGACTGACAGACATTAACCATGAGTAAAGCAATGTATTGCTGGTTTTAAGTCTTCTTCCTCTAATAGACTTACAGCAGGCCGTACACAATGAGGTGTAATGCCGCCCTCCACAGGAAAACAAAACAAAAACAAAGAAACAAAAAACTTTTGTGAGACAAGGAATTTATGTAAATTCTTTCATACAGGCCAGCAGAATGCAAATACTTTAAGACTGTATTCACAATGAGTTGGAAATTATTTTCTGGTGGGAAAAAAGACTTGAAAGAAAAAGAGGAAAGACCCAAATCTGCAAGTTTCTTGAACAATTGGTGTCTTTCTCTTCTATAAATATTACAAGAAAACATAACATGCTGAGCTGTCTCTATATAACCACACTGCCATAGACCATCTGGATTTTCAAACAGCTGGCCAAACCACAATGCCCAAATCTCAGTTTGGCTATAATACAGTAACTTCATTCTTTCTATCAGAGCTCACATTTAATATTTTCCATTTGACAGATGTTTGAATATAAGAAAGGTGTTGACCTCTCTGCACCTTATTCCACTCTTTCTGCCAGACAGTGTCTGATTTGTCTTTACAGTGCTCAGGTTTTTGTAACAAAATCTTCAGGTCAGTAGTTTGACTTGAAATAGATTATTTGGCAAGTTTGTCTGCATTTTAATTATTCTCAACTGCAGCATGTCCAGGTACCCATGAAAAATCTATAAGCCATCCCATGTGGTCAACGCTGTACAAGCAGCACAGAATCTCCCACAGAAGGTCAGGGCGGGCTCCAGATGTCCCATCCCTCAGAGCAGGCAGCCATAGAATCAGAGCAGATAAAACTTAATGGGGGAATTAACAAGTTCCTGGTTCACGCATTAGCACCATAAATGTGGGCAATGTGAGGATGATAAACTAACATTTACACAATTCAATAACAGCTTCTATGATTATTTCATTCCTGTAGTAGAAAAACTTAATCAGTAACACCTTTTCATATGATCGTCACTACAAAGTAGCTCCAGTCTCACAAATGACCATACAACAGAGTGGACACATTAACAAGTATCTGCAATACTTCAACATTCATAACTAAGGTATCTGCTAGTTAATGCTGTTTGGTTTGAGTTGTATTAAATTGTATCTCAGTTTTTCACTTTGCTCTCTGTATAACAAATGAGAAAGCTTCAGAGTGTGAGATTAGAATTTAAACTGGCCAGTATAGCAGTGAATACAGCATCAATACAACAAGTTCTGAGCTGATTACCTTGGGTACTTTAATGAGTGTGTTTGAATTTCTGAAATATCCAAAACAGAAAAATATGATATACAGCTTTATCTTGAAAAATAACCTCTTAAGCTTCTAGACTTGTGTTGGACTCGCTGGGATTTGTCCTGAATCCACTCAGCCCTACAAGCTTGACATATTTGACCATAGGCCTACACTCAGATGCCACATAAACATATATCAATTAATCAGTGATAGATCCATGTGCATGAATAGCTGCTGGCCATTATGGCAATGCATCAACGCAACATGTACACAGTTAGCTTTTAGCTGTTAGACAAAGGAACTTGATAGTTAACTCATTCAGGTGGTGGATGGGAGTTTGTGGGCAAAGCTGAAAAGATTGCTGCTCTGCAAGTGTATGCTCATTTAGCGGGTATGTTGAGAAATTGCTCTGACTGGTGTTTTATTGCATGTACAGTGGAGCAGAGGTGTTTTCACCTCGAGTAACATGTTTCACCTGCTCCTCCTCTGTCCACTGCAGCATCTTAGCTGTGCTTTGCTCTGTGTCCAGGAGCTTAGAACCCCTTGCCTGCACAGATTTTTAATCTCATATGAAATCCTTGTGCCTCATTATGCTCATTATCTTTAAGATTTCAGATTTTTTTAAAATTATTTTGATAAATTAACCTGCTATCACAAGAAAACAAGCTTTGTTATATTAAGATAATATAATTTACTTGTGATTTTGAGATAATGCAATGGCTGTCCTACATTAATATAATGTCCCTTAATCTAGCTTTATTATTTGTTAAGTCACAAATTATGCTTCCTATTTCCTCAGTGTTATTTTAGTCACTTTCTACACTGCCATTAACAAATACAGTGCCTTGCGAAAATATTCGGCCCCCTTGAACTTTGCGACCTTTTGCCACATTTCAGGCTTCAAACATAAAGATATAAAACTGTATTTTTTTGTGAAGAATCAACAACAAGTGGGACACAATCATGAAGTGGAACGAAATTTATTGGATATTTCAAACTTTTTTAACAAATAAAAAACTGAAAAATTGGGCGTGCAAAATTATTCAGCCCCCTTAAGTTAATACTTTGTAGCGCCACCTTTTGCTGCGATTACAGCTGTAAGTCACTTGGGGTATGTCTCTATCAGTTTTGCACATCAAGAGACTGAAATTTTTGCCCATTCCGCCTTGCAAAACAGCTCGAGCTCAGTGAGGTTGGATAGAGAGCGTTTGTGAACAGCAGTTTTCAGTTCTTCCCACAGATTCTCGATTGGATTCAGGTCTGGACTTTGACTTGGCCATTCTAACACCTGGATATGTGTATTTGTGAACCATTCCATTGTAGATTTTGCTTTATGTTTTGGATCAGTGTCTTGTTGGAAGACAAATCTCCGTCCCAGTATCAGGTCTTTTGCAGACTCCATCAGGTTTCCTTCCAGAATGGTCCTGTATTGGGCTCCATCCATCTCCCCATCAATTTTAACCATCTTCCCTGTCCCTGCTGAAGAAAAGCAGGCCCAAACCATGATGATGCCACCACCATGTTTGACAGTGGGGATGGTGTGTTCAGGGTGATGAGCTGTGTTGCTTTTACGCCAAACATAACGTTTTGCATTGTTGCCAAAAAGTTCAATTTTGGTTTCATCTGACCAGAGCACCTTCTTCCACATGTTTGGTGTGTCTCCCAGGTGGCTTGTGGCAAACTTTAAACGACACTTTTTATGGATATCTTTAAGAAATGGCTTTCTTCTTGCCACTCTTCCATAAAGGCCAGATTTGTGCAGTATACGACTGATTGTTGTCCTATGGACAGAGTCTCCCACCTCAGCTGTAGATCTCTGCAGTTCATCCAGAGTGATCATGGGCCTCTTGGCTGCATCTCTGATCAGTCTTCTCCTTGTATGAGCTGAAAGTTTAGAGGGACGGCCAGGTCTTGGTAGATTTGCAGTGGTCTGATACTCCTTCCATTTCAATATTATCGCTTGCACAGTGCTCCTTGGGATGTTTAAAGCTTGGGAAATCTTTTTGTATCCAAATCCGGCTTTAAACTTCTCCACAACAGTATCTCGGACCTGCCTGGTGTGTTCCTTGTTCTTCATGATGCTCTCTGCGCTTTAAACGGACCTCTGAGACTATCACAGTGCAGGTGCATTTATACGGAGACTTGATTACACACAGGTGGATTCTATTTATCATCATTAGTCATTTAGGTCAACATTGGATCATTCAGAGATCCTCACTGAACTTCTGGAGAGAGTTTGCTGCACTGAAAGTAAAGGGGCTGAATAATTTTGCACGCCCAATTATTCAGTTTTTTATTTGTTAAAAAAGTTTGAAATATCCAATAAATTTCGTTCCACTTCATGATTGTGTCCCACTTGTTGTTGATTCTTCACAAAAAATTACAGTTTTATATCTTTATGTTTGAAGCCTGAAATGTGGCAAAAGGTCGCAAAGTTCAAGGGGGCCGAATACTTTCGCAAGGCACTGTATAAAGCACTTGAACACAGCCGAGGCCAACAAAGTGCTTAACATAAGATACAATTCAAAACATCTAAAAACGTGACAACTACAATATTAAAATACCAATAAAATAACATAAAAGAACCAACATAGCAAAATAACAAAATACTATCAACCAAAACTCAGCCCAAACAGAGTCTCATAGCATATCAAACGCCAAAGCATACAAGTGAGTCTTCAAGTAAGTTTTAAAAATAGCCAACGAGGCGGCCTGCCTGATGTAAAGGGGCAGCGCATTCCATAGCTTAGGAGCCACAATGGAAAACGCTCTGTCCCCTCTGAGTTTACGCCTGGCCCACGGTACCTCAAGCAAGAGCTGGTCAGCTGATCTGAGGCACCGAGAGGGACTATAAGGAAGGACAGGGAAGATGGTTCAAATTGATGGGAAGATGGATGGAGCCAAATACAGGACCATTCTGGAAGGAAACCTGATGGAGTCTGCAAAAGACCTGATACTGGGACGGAGATTTGTCTTCCAACAAGACAATGATCCAAAACATAAAGCAAAATCTACAATGGAATGGTTCAAAACTAAACATATCCAGGTGTTAGAATGGCCAAGTCAAAGTCCAGACCTGAATCCACTCGAGAATCTGTGGAAAGAACTGAAAACTGCTGTTCACAAACGCTCTCTATCCAACCTCACTGAGCTCGAGCTGTTTTGCAAGGAGGAATGGGCAAAATTTAAGTCTCTTGATGTGCAAAACTGATAGAGACATACCCCAAGTGACTTACAGCTGTAATCGCAGCAAAAGGTGGCGCTACAAAGTATTAACTTAAGGGGGCTGAATAATTTTGCACGCCCAATTTTTCAGTTTTTTATTTGTTAAAAAAGTTTGAAATATCCAATAAATTTCGTTCCACTTCATGATTGTGTCCCACTTGTTGTTGATTCTTCACAAAAAAATACAGTTTTATATCTTTATGTTTGAAGCCTGAAATGTGGCAAAAGGTCGCAAAGTTCAAGGGGGCCGAATACTTTCGCAAGGCACTGTAGTTCAATATCCCAATGACAATAGCAAACTTAGTCAATTGCATCATCCCATTGATGAAAAAATCTATGAGACAGTTACAGATTGAATAATATCACCATCTGTTTTATGATCATGTGACTCAGGTACCTTCAGTCTTACCTACTCCCAGTGAGAGGGATAAAATATAAATGAAAGGTCTCACACAGTACAACTTGCTTCAGGAAACGGCACACTTGATAATGTCTGATGAGAGTTTGGATACAACAGTTCCCTTCAGTGAACTGTGTCATTCTTTATTAAATATTGTGTTTGTTTGTTTTTTTGATCCAGGGAAACAGTCCAGAACAGATGATTGTGTTCAACCTGGCTTTTACAGATTTGTGTGGCAGCACTGCTCTCATCCCAAAACTCTTGGACACATTTTTGTTTGACAACAGATACATTGTCTATGAGGCTTGTTTAAGTTACATGTTCTTTGTTTGGCTCTTCTTAGGTGTGCAGTCATGGACACTTGTGATTATGGCATATGACAGGTTTATAGCAATTTGCTTCCCTTTAAGGTACCATAGTATTGTGACTAAACCAGCTATTGCTGCAATGCTGCTGTTTATGTGGGTTTTTATATCATGTCTAACAGCATGCAGTGCTGGGCTTCTTAATCGTATCTCATTCTGTGGTTCCTTGGTGATACAAAGTTTTTTCTGTGATCATGGACCAATGTATCGTCTAGCTTGTAATGACAACTCTTTAAGTTATCACATAGCAAATGTTGTCTTAATTGTTATTGCTTGTTTTCCTCCTCTTTTAATAGCATTAGTTTCACAGAAGATCGTTTACCCCGATTGCATCAAGAGAGGAACAAGTCAGAGCAGTGAAAACTTGTATTTCTCATCTGATTATTGTGGCTATTTTCTTCCTACCACTCTTGGGCACCACCATAGCTGCTCTGACCTCCTACCTCCATCCTCATGCCAGGATCATAAACTCTACTTTGACAAACACCATACCACCTTTATTCAATCCAATCATATACTCTTTAAAGACGGAAGAAGTGTTGAACTCTATCTGGAAACTTTGCAAGAACAAAAGATTGAGCAACATAACCTTTTCCAAAAAGGTAACTTCTTTGTCACGGTTGTATTGACACATCAAAAGTATTTAAATAATATTCATGTGTAACTTTTGTTGTTTAATTTCTTATTAGCAAGAAATGCCCTTTTATTTTTAAATTATGGGTGTTACGTGTTATTTTGTCAGTTACTCTATGTTGCTGTTGCAGTAGCCATATACAGGTCGGCCTTACAAAATAAATCAGGGTTTTGACTTTATGACTGCACTGCTTAAAGTGATGAAATATTTGGGTGATTATGTTACTTTACTTTTGCATAAAGATGTTACAGTAATAGCATTGACATATTTGCATCCAAGCACTGAGCAGGATTGCGTCAAGAGAGGAGCAACTGAAGGCTTTCAAAACTTGTACTTCTCACTTGATTCTTGTGGCTATTTTTTTTTTTGCCACTTTTGGGCACCAACATAGCTGCTCTGGCCTCCTACATCCATCCTAATGCCAGGATCTTCAACTCTACTCTGACACACACCATACCAGCTTTGCTCAATCCTATTATTTAGTTTTTAAAGACAAAAGAAGTGTTGAACTCTATCAAGAAGCTTTACAAAAGCCATGGGTTTAGCAGCATAACCTTGTCCAAAAAAGTGACCTCTTTATCACAGTTGTAATGACATTGCAGTTGCAATAGTATAAATGTGATTTCTAACTTTTAACATTTGACTCAATACTAGTAAGTACTACAGTTTTACTTTGAAATTGTGGTCATTATGTTGTATTTTGTCATTTACCATTTTTTGCTTTATCAATAGCCACATAAAGATCGGCCTTTTAAAATGGAATCAGGGATACAAATATGTTGTGACCTTTTAAGATGTTAAATATTTTGGAAAAAAAAACAGACACCATCATCAGTAACTGTTGGTTTATAATGTTTTTTTAGCTTATTTATACTCATTGTATAGCAAGTACTAGTAGCAAAACGGTGAAACATCTGCAGTTCTAACAGGTTTACACCATCTAGTGGTTTGTTCTTGCACTTTACCATTTGTGACTACACTCATTGAGCACTTTGTACATGTATACAAGTACATGCAATCCAGTACAACAGCCCTGCCAACATCTATCTGTATGAAGCTCAGAATGTTTTGGTTTTTGGTGAACTTGTGGGAAATGTGGAATTCAGTGGTGTATATAGTTTTGTCCTCACAGTGTACATACAGTATATGAGAGGGTCAGAATGTTACATGACACCTCTGAATATACTACAGTACAACACTGCTTTTAACTTTGACCTAAATTTATATGGCCTTCTCTCAATGATTTACAGCACATATGAGATAGATACACAATGAAGTATATCAATATCTAATTCAAAAACTTGACATAGCCACCCAGATTTCTACTGTCCCACAATGAAAGGGAAGAAGTATAAATGACACGTCTCTCACAGTACAACTCACTTTGGGTAACTGCACTTGGTACCGTCTAAGGTGAGATTGGTTGCAACAGTCAACTGCCTCTTCCTGTAGTGAATATTGTGTTTTCTCTTTGTTATATCCAGGGAAACAATTAATGAACCCAGAAGTAAAAGCTGCTCCCATATTGAGTGTAATGTGTTTGTCCTGCAAAATTATTTCAGTGGGTTTTCCAACACCCTTGACGTTAGGTACACTGCTCGAAAAAATTAAGGAAACACTAAATCAAACATTGGATCTTGAATGAATTATTCAAGTTGAATCTCTGAAGTTTAACTGACTTGGTGTTGTACTCTGATGATCAGGTGTTCCTAAAACTTTTTTGAGCAGTTTATTATAGGACAGGAGCAAAAATTTGAATTTCTAATGTGAGGTACTGCTTATGTAGGAGTATGGGATTAAAGTTCCTCTGATTCTTTCTCGGCCATGCCTTGTATTATATCTGTACCCGGTGAATTTGGTTCATTAAAGCCCCAGAAACAAAGTATCTATAATGCTCAGAACTATGAGCTTTACACTTTTACTTACTGTTTTGTGGAGGATATACTTGGGCAGAGGAGGAAAGTGTATATGTGAAAAATGTATATCTATATATAAATATTTTCAGTGTATTCTATGTATAATATTCTGCAGCATTGAACAAGACTGACAGATTGTCCCCTCTATTCATTAAAACAGTAAAACAGCTAGAAAATGTCTGCTGATACAGAACTGAACCAATTATACTTTATTCAGTGGATTTCAATTTTTTAGATATGATTTTAAACCTTGTAGTGTGGATATATAGATTGATGACTTGTGCATCATTCATGTTTCCTTTTGTACGGTTAACATTAACACACTAGAAGGGAGGCACTCACCACTGTTCCATTCTTTAGTCTATGTTCCTGCTATGCACTTATGCAATTTTATTTTGAAATATTGACAATTACTAAACCATAGAAAGCAGAGGATACGTTAGTACATTTTGAAAAATCAGTGTGCAGCAGTTTTATTTTTCATGACCGGTGGCAGGTCTGTGGATTTCCTATAATGAATGACTTTTTTCTGCTCTTCCCTTTACACAAGCATTTCTTGTCTACATTTATGTTGTTACACCTCTCCAAGGTCTTTTCTTATGTTGATCTGTGCTAATTTTAGTTTTTCTTACCAGTGCCAGGGCTCTGTTTCTGATCTCCTTGGTTTTCAAAGAGTATACAATAGGATTGACACAGGGTGGGGTGAAAGAAGCCAGAGACAGGCTTAGCAATGACAGGTCCTCATCAATCAACTGCAGATAATAGGCAATATTAAAAATGGTAATGAGAGGAATGTAAAATACAGCAACAAGGATGATATGTTCAACGCAAGTAGCCAAAGCTTTAACTTTACTGTCTAAAGATTTCATCCTGAACACGGTCACCAGGATACTGACATAAGACAGACAAATAAAAGTAAAGGGTACAACAAGAATCAAAAAAGTAATTGAAGTGCCCACAGTCCACTGCATTGTGTAATCATTACAGGCAATTCTAAACATAGCTGAATAGTCACAGAAATAACTGAACACTGTGAGGGAATTGCAAAAAGACAATCGAGTCATTATACCTGCTCCAAATGCCATGATTCCCAGAGTAAAACACCAAATCAGACCAATAATATAAGACATGCTTCGCAGTGTGTTGATTGAGTTCTGATGCAGAGGGAAACATATTGCGATCAACCTGTCATAGGCAAGTATAGCAAGTGCATATGACTCCAGAGTCACAAAGGTATAATAACCATACATTTGTACAAAACACATGTTAAATGGAACAAAGTTATCCTTCATTAGATAAATTTTTATCATGTTGGAAATAATACTTGTGCTTAGGATTACATCAATTACTGCGAGGTTGCCCACAGAAAAAAACTTTGGTGTGTGTAAACAATGATTAAAGGCAATTACACAGATCACCAAACTGTTAAACAGAACTGTAACCACATAAATAAATGTTAGAAAGATGACATAGACACTGATGTAAGGTAATGTCTGAAATCCAGTAATATAGAAGCCCGGAGGATGAATGATAACAGAGTCATTTAAAACAGTCCTGAGGAATGACATAGTTGAACTTCACAAGCTGTGTGTTGGAGGACAGCCTCTGCCTAAAAGCTCTCCAGTCTAAAGAACAGGGGAGTCATATCATATTGAACATTAGACCTCAACAAAGACAATCATAATTTTCATGCCAGTTTGAAAATCATATTTGAATTTATAAAATATATCAAATCTATTCTCACTAAGTTCGCACACACTGTACAAATTAAGTCAGTGAGCATTGCTTACATGATGCTCTCTTCAGGATTTCTTAGCAGCAGCTCTCATTAAAATGCACCTAAAAGCAGTAGGCAGACGGCTGCATGTGTGACCCCTGGACAGTGGAAGATATACTTTCCTCATCAATCCCCAAAGCTTCCCTCTGATTCAGAGCAAGTCATTTTGACCCTGCTCTATTGAGGACATTAATTTGATCCTTGGAGAGCATCTCATTATTCTCTAATTATGATTAAGTACGTTGGATTACCAGTTCTTTCAAAAAAATAGATAAAGTCCTGCAGCAAGGTATTATGTACCATTTTTTTCCCAGCAATCGTCAAAAATGAAAGTCATTGTAAAGTTGGGTTTTCCTAATTTCTGATAATGAATTCTTCCACAAAACATTTGATTCAAGTTTGTAATAATTTGCATAACTGATTGAAAATCATTTTTTCCCATACAGCTTTGCTCAGGTAACAACACAATAAATGCTAGAGCTTGGCAAGTTATGTATTTATATAAGAATATTAACATTTAAAACAACAGACTTATGCATTAGTAAAGTTTGTTCAAACTTACATTTTGACATTTTTTACTATCATCCTCAGTGGCTACCCTGTGTATTATCAGCATTGAGCCCATTGGTTATAATTATACTATGTAAACCTAATGTCTGAACTGAAATTAAGCAGTAGTTTAAACATTTTGTACATTTTTTGAGAACATATTTTTCCAGCTATGAAAATATATAATAGAGCTCCCCCACCTCTTCATAAAACTACACCATATATATTTAAAAAGTCTGCTTGAATATACAATAATTCCCAGGCTAATATTTTAAATAGACATTACTCATGGCTTCTGTGCACAGTATCTGCTCAAGTCTCTTGATAGTTAGCAGAGAGCTCCATTCAACAATGATCTGTTGCAGAATAAAAAAACTACTATGGTGAGCAGCTGTGATTTACGCTGTTGTATATGTGTAAATATTACCCCGGTGGGTGCTGGCATTACCTTTTTGTCTTAGAATCTTGAAAAAATGTGAAACCTGAGGTTTGCTTTAAATTGTTTGCCCCAGGGCCGTGCTGAACCAGAAACGGTAGCCCCCAGAATTTGAATCTTAGCTGATGTTATTGTGAAAAGGGTCTACTACTCATGGTTAAACATCTATCCTTTCAATTAACCGATGTTGTCTGATGTGCTTCTATTTTGTTGACCCTACATTTTATTATATCTGCACCTATTAAATTTAGTTCATTAAGGGTCCAGAAGCAAAGTATCTATAAGCCTCATAACTGTGCAGTTTTTATATAAACACCATTATTATATTGTTTTGTGGAGGACAGTACTTAGGCAGATAAGGAAACTGTATATGTGAAATAGGTATATAAATTCTGCAGCACAGAAGACTGACAGACTGTCCCCTCTATTCATTGGCAAAGCAGCTAAATATGTCTACTGGTACAGAACTGAATCAATTAAACTTTATTCAATGGTTATTGTAATTCTAATTTTTCAAATATAATAGTAGACGTGTGTGCCATTCATGGTTGAGCTTGCATTTCGAACATAAACACACACACAAACATAAACATACTAGAGGGGAGGCACTCGTCATAATTCCATTCTCTACTCTGTGTCCCTCCTTGTAGAAAAATGTTTTCTTCCTTGTTTTAATAGTTTCTAAAATTACAAAATCAGTATTGCTTGCTTTATGTATTTATTTATTTATTTTATTGTATTTATAACCAGCAGCAGGGTCCAGCATTTCAAGTTTTCCACTTTCCAGTGTTATATAGATCACCAAACTGTTAAACAGCATTGTGACCACATAAACAAATGCTAGAAAAATGACTTTGCCCTGTCAGTTGAAAGTGTCCATGCATTCCAGAAACACATTTCTATTAGCTTTAAAAAAAAAATTGGTTCTTGATTGTGAAAATATGTGGCATAAACCGCTTTAACCATTTACTTTAAATTGCTCCTGTTAATAAGTCCACCATGTTAGTCAAGCCTATTACTGTGATTACATATATTTGTTATATGACACCAATGATTCATTATTCCAATATAACAGAGAAATAAATGTTTTGAAAATCAGTAACTCAGCAGTTTACTTAATAACTGGTGATCCACAGAAACAAAGGGCATATTTTCAAAAACATAAAAAAACAACGCAAACAGCTGTATGAGGTTTGAGATGTGATATTGTCAGAGAGAAATATAATTTATATCTATAAGGTACAGTAAGTTACTGGATAAGTACACTGTGTCTTCTTTTGTTGGAAAATTATTTGGTAACAAAAAAGACATGATCATGTTGAACAAGATAAATTATTCAAAATAAATAAATAACTAGAAAAGACTTATTATGACAAATTAAAACAAGCCCCTAAGCAGAAGGGTATTAAACATAACTTCTTACTATGGAAGAAGAAAGAAATTACTTTGTAAGCTAAATGGAAGGTGGAATGCTGTAGATGTTCTGGTCTCTGGGGCTCTGGCCACTTGTCATAGGCCAGGTAGGAGATTAAGGAGCCAACAGCTGAAGGAGTATCATCTGCTTACTGAATATTATTAACAAAGCAATATTAGTGAACGTGAAAATGAATGCTTCTTTGTTTGTTTTGTTTTGTTTCCTGAATTGCATAACAAAATCAAGCTTCTTGTCTTGATGTGGTGGAACTCTGCACTGCTGAATGAAAATTCTAGGCTGACTTGACTCGTATTTAGCAGTGACATGTAAGCTCATTGTTTTCTAAATCAAGGTTGTGCATGCTGCTCCTGTGTCCTGGGGTCAGAGCTGAAATGCAGTGGGTGGTGCAGTATAATTACAAGGGTGGGGCAGAAGTAGTGAATGATGCCTTTGATGTGTATTCAGTCAGGTCAAAGAAAGAAAAAAAGTCACTTCTGGCTTTTTCCCATTTAGGGGTTGCTACAGCGAAATGTTACACTGACGACTCGCATGTTGATATTTGGCACATGTTTTACGCCGTCCTGACGCAACCCTGATTCGAACCCGGGCCGCAGTGGTGAGAGCGCTGGGCCTTAAACACTAGCCTACCAGGGACAGCATGTGTATTCAGTCAAGTACAGGGCACTAAAGTTTGCCATTTGTATACCTCAGTAATATCCCCAAAACTCAAAAATCAAAGGACAACTGTATTTTTAAGGTCAGTAATTCTTCTCCCATTTCTAATGATATGAGTTACAGGTAAGTGACTGACAGGAGAGTAAACCATAGGAAATAGATCTTTGTACTAAAGCTTAACATTATCTTGAATTCAAATGGATTTTATTAAATTGAACTCAGACTGTAGTCAGATCAAAATAATGCAAAATGAAGACAACTTTAAAAGAATATTGAACCACACAAATATCTTTCCATAATGGAAACTCAATAACAATACTGAGTTGAAGACACATGTGTTGACAAACTACATGTACTGTATACTGTGGAAAAATCATATTTGTAACCTCAGGTTGCAAAGCAGGATGCATCTCAAGGTGTTAAGGACTCCACAGAAGTCAAATACCTGGGACTCCTCACCAGTCAGTCACAAGCAAATAAGCTTCTTGGATGAGAGGTGAAATGCATTAAAGAACCTCAAGCATATCCAGTTGACTACTTTTAGCACCTTGGATAAACCCTTTACATGTAAAGAAATATACCATTCAAGAGATAAAAAGTTACTGCTGTAACTGAAAGCAATAAATCAGTGCATCAAGGCAATACACCTAAAACTGAGCTTACCACAGGACCTAGTTCAGAGATGCAGTCATAAGGAGATGACACATTTCCACTGTTCATTTGCTGGAGAACACCTCACTCTGCTGGATGCATGTTGATATTGCATTTAGATTAGGTTGTATATGCTCCACATTTGTCGCAGTCCAGTGTTCAGTTTGTCCAAACTAAGCCCCAGCAGCGTGTTTAAATATTAATCAATTTAAGTCAATTCAAGTATACTGTTTTTACAAACACAAGACTTCATCTTTAATAAAGGTCATAAGTAGGAAGTGAGCAAATCATGTAACTGTAATGAGATCACCGTTCTAAGCACAATGTAGAGATGATTTTCTTCTTTTTTCTTTGTAAAGTCTACATGCCAGTCAATTGCATGTTGTTGCATCCTAAGATTTGGGAAATGTGCAGTAGGAAAACTATTCTTCCTGACAGCTGTGAGTCCTGCAAACAACCCATCCATCAACTATAAACTTATTCTTGAAGGTTGCAGACGGTGCTAAAGCCTGTCTCAGCTGATGCTGGGCCACAGACATGGTACTTCATAGACAGGTCGACAGTCTGTCAGGCTGACATATACACTCACTCGCACTGAAAGCCTGTGTTTGTGTGATGGTTCACATTCATGTTTGTAAGTGGTATATATCCATCTCCTGTGTGAACACATTTGAGGTCCTAAACTGCCACACATGCAGATTTAAGTTAAATAAGAGACACATCTACAAGAATAACAGCAATAACATAATTTGTGCAACAGTCAAATCATAAATGTAGATGACATAGCTGTGCTCACATACATGTCATTAATTATTTGTTGTGGACGTTGGCACGCAGTGCAGATGATGAGAATGAGAATGACAATGAGAAGGTGACAAAAAGGCCAAAGCCATAGCTGCAGCATTGTTGCCTGTGTTCAGGTCCGGCCCGTGGCATAGGCAGTATAGGCTAATGCTAAGGGCGCCTACATCCAGGGGGCGCCAGAAATGGAGGAAGAAAAAAAGTGTAACTTCCACTATTCTTAAGACTAGACTTCAGAAAAGAATAAGCCCACCACATTAATTTAACTGTGTAGCAGCAAAGCCTACTAAGTAGTAGTAATAATAATAATAATAATATAGCCTACCTGCCTAAGACGCCTCCCCTCTCTTCCAAATAATCCGACTGTACCTGCTACACGGTGGTCGTTTTTTGATGGGTCAACAAGCTCAACATGTCAAAACGTCCCAAACTGTCTGGTGCCCAGGGGAGGAAAAAAAGAAAAGAAGAGGAGGAAAAACTCGACAAAGACAGAGGTAATGTTACGGTAAAGATTATGTCAATGATATTATTTTGCTGTTTCCGAACGATGACTGATAACGCCATAATCGCCATTAACAATTAGCATAACAACATGGTTTGCTAATCAATAAATAGCTAGCGCTATCTATCTGTTAACGTCGTCAGATAATGTTATGGAAGGGCCTAGTTGTTATGGAAAATAGTAATGTAACTACCCCCATCATTCCTCCTCGGGCAAATGTGTAAATATTAGATCTATTCATCAGGTGTTATAACGTTAATTGCATTGACATGGTTATCTGACGTTTTCTCAGCTTGTAATAGTCAATCAAAATGCTCTTCATGTTCCATAGTTGTAAGCCTAGCTGTTTGTTGTGTTACAGTTCATACTGTCTAAAGTGCGTTTATCATGTTAAACTTAACAGTGTTAAAGTGCACAACATTAATGTTAGAGCATAATTTAGCATTCCCACATGGTATATTATACTGCAGTTTACTCATTCTTTGCAATGCATTCTGCTAATTAGCATTTCACTGTAATGACAATAAAATTGAAATTGTTACTAATATATGAATTACTTATATAATTTGTATCAGAAAAAGTACATTGTATATTATACAGTATAGTCTACATCATGCATGTATCTCTAGGTTTTTCATTTATATTATTTCATTTTATTTTATTCTTAAAATCATGTGTTTATTATTAGACTGGTGTCACATACTCCTCTTCTGTCTTCAGATGCTGAGGTTTCTCAGTCCCACCGTTGCAAATCCTCCTGTCACCTCCACCTCAGCAGCACAACCAATTTCCTGAAAGAGGTGGAGCTTATGGCCAAATTTGATCCAGTGATGAAGCAGCATGTCAGTAGGGTGGAAAGTGGAGCTGGCAGTCATGTACATTATCTTGGCAAAACAATCCAAAATGAACTGATAGACTCCATCAGTTCTAAAACAATAGAACACATTGTGACAGAGATCAAAATATCCAAATATTTCTCCATCATTTTAGACTGCACCCCTGATCTGTGCTGCCTCAGAGGCTTATGTATAGCGCTTGAACAAAAATTTGTTGAAATGTAATGTTTGCATTTGAAATTGAAATAGTGACCTCTGTCTGTAGGATGGGGAGTTGGTACGAACAGGAAATGCTGTTTTAAAAGCAGAGATAATGTCTGCTGACGGGAGCCGGGCTGCAGAGACAGAGATAACGGACAATAAGAATGGAACATATGAGGTGGGCTACATGTTACGCTCTGAGGGAGAGTACTCCTTCGCTCTGTCGCTGTATGGACAGCCGATACGTGGGAGCCCCTTCCGCCTGCGGGCGGTGAAGCCCTCAGACGTGCCACAGTCTCCAGATGATGTAAAGAGGAGGGTGAAGTCTCCCAGTGGGACAGGGGGCCACATACGGCAGAAAGCAGTGCGTCGACCTTCCAGTATGTACAGTACTACCAAGAAAAAGGAGAACCCCATCGAAGATGAGCTCATCTACAGAGTGGGTAAGAGAGATAATCCTGTGAAAACCAAGGTCTGAGTACACTTATATCATAGCAGGGGGAGCACAAAATGTCTTCTGTAAAACAGTCTGTTGGTTGTTTTGCATGTTATATCTCATTAATTACAAGTCAAGAATGAATATTACTGCAGTGTAGTGTAGTTTCCTTCCTGTAGCTACTGCTTTCAGTTTATGTCAGTAGACTGTAGGATCAAACTAGCTGAGTCCTGATATACTGTATGTGACATCCAGACAAAGCCTTGCATTCACAAGCTGTGTTTTCTGAAGATCAAACCCAGAAAACAAACATCAAGGACAATGAGATTTTGGTAGCCGTCTACAGGCATTAAATATGATGACTTTCAGTTTTTTATATGTCAAGGGTCCCTGCTGTGCACAAATAAATGAAAGTGCAGTCTTCTCACTGTGATGGATTGCTGAACTCAAGCAAATTATGATGTGTTGTGTGAACTTTACTGACATAAATCATAACCTCAGTGTGCCTGGAACATAGGAAATCAGTCCAAAGACTAAAGATGCACTTTGTACAATGATCAAGTTCAGTGCACAGTGTATAAGCTCTCTTTTAGTCCAAACCACTGGTATCACCTTTTATGGAAAAATGTTAGACACTGAGACTACAATGAAAATATCAAATGGCACATTTACTGACTGTACTTTTTCTGGTCAGGTTCCCGGGGAAGAGAGAAAGGAGAGTTCACCAATCTGCAGGGAATCTCTGCCTCTAGTAATGGCAGAGTGGTGGTGGCTGACAGCAACAACCAGTGCATACAGGTGAGACACAGAGCAGAAGGTGCATGTTTGTGCAAATATGTGTGTATTTCTGGTCATGTAGAATAGGAAAATACTGTTGTGGTATTGTAATCATGATAAACTTTATGATCTGTTATGGAATTAATTACAGGTATTCTCCAATGACGGCCAGTTCAAGATGCGCTTTGGGGTCAGAGGTCGGTCTCCAGGGCAGCTGCAGAGACCGACAGGCGTCACGGTTGACATGAACGGTGACATTGTGGTAGCTGACTATGACAATCGATGGGGCAGCATCTTCTCCTCTGATGGCAAGTTTAAGGTAAGATCTCAGAGCCTGTATTGGCAAAACAACACTAAAGATAAAGTACACCTCATTTAAGATTTATTCATGTATAGTGCCTAGTGAAAAAAGGCCTTGAAGGGGAGTATGAGTTTAGCTCATTCTGTCTTCATAAAGTAGAAGAAAATCCTGTATAAACAATTTATCCTACTTTCTTAGGTGAGACATAAGTATAAAGATAAAAATATAAAGATGGTTTAATAAGCCTCTCAAAGTGTTGCCGATCTTTTGTTCCCTGGTAAAATCCTCCTGGTTCTTCTCCCTCACAGAATAAAATTGGTGCAGGCCGGCTCATGGGTCCTAAGGGTGTGGCTGTGGATAAGAACGGGCACATCATCACTGTGGACAATAAGGCCTGCTGTGTCTTCATCTTTCAGTCCAATGGGAAGCTTGAGACTAAGTTTGGCAGCAGGGGGACATCTGACAGACAGTTTGCAGGTGAGAAGGAACCAACAAAAGATCTCTTTTTATTATTACAGACCTGGAAGCTCACAAACAATGTCCCTTCTTTAAATGATACTGAAGCAACAGCGTCTACCAGCTAATTAATCCTGCTAATTCATGTATTTATCATAACATATGGTAACACAAATAATTGTGTGGATACTATATATTATTTTGGATTTTGAAAGATATCTGCAACATGTTTAGCAGCTTGGATTTCTCCATTGCTCAGGACTGATGTAAGAGGCTCAATGTGAACACCCCGACTAGACTCATTTTAAAATGTCAGCTTGTGGTAGCAAACTGTGAAGAACAAATGGGGTTTGCTCTCACCTCCATTACAGATAGACACTGGCTGTCCCCATCTGGGGATGAAAGCAGGAAATAAGGCAGTGGCATCAACATTTGTTTTGCACACTAAGCACAATGACTGTTCTGTTCAGTGAAGAAGAATGGGGGTGTTTTTGAGACTGGACTAAATGTTCAATTCACCAATTGTTTCTTTGGTGACACTTGTAATGCCAGTTTGAGAAAACAAATGCTTGTGCACTCATTGTATTCCTGAATATAGACTGATATGTTGTTACATCCATGCAAGTCTGAATATACTTGTAGGAAAAAGCCCCAGGTAATACAGTGACCCCCTCACAAAAATCCACACTGCTCTATTTATTCTCTTCTTATCCTTCATCTCTGACTGTTTATTTTCTTTTCTTTCTGTTCTTCCTCCTGTTTTCCAATTTAGAAAAACTTGGCCCAAACTTAAATAAATCTGGCTCAGTTTTCAGTAAGTACTAAATGTGGCCTTGCTGCAGCCTTAATCCCACAGTGCAGTGCCTTCTGTCTAACCCTATCCCTGATTATATGTCTGACACCATGAAAACTCCAGATTGTTGACAAATAGTTGTGCCTGTATAACAATAATCATAGATACAAATACAAGCCATTGTAATAATCACTATTACAATAGTGAACATTTTGTCGTGTGCATTCTGTGTTTGGTGCTACAAAAAGATCAGTGTGAATGATTTTTCACTGCGCCGACTTCAAAGCCATGAACCTAACCACTGTTCCCTATTTGTTGTAAGTCTGCCAGTGCTGGGAGCTACAGAGCTCAGCCAATAGGTTTTCACTGAACATAAATAACTACCTCATGATGCATTTTTTGCAAATCAGTGTAACCATTTATAGCTGAGACAACAACTTTCGGAGGGGAGGGGACTGAATCTTAGAGCCTTGAGCCTTTCCTTATAATCTAACTTAGAGTTTTAGATCTTTTGTCTTGAAATTCTGGGAGAGAAAAAGGAAAACAGTTGTGGCATTTATGCATGACAAATATGCCACTTCTCCAGGCAAACCAACTACTTCCACCTACAGCAAATCCAACAATAACCTGCTTCTCCCTTTTCATCCAGGTCCACACTTTGTTGCAGTGAACAACAAGAATGAAATCATTGTGACTGATTTTCACAATCACTCTGTGAAGGTAGGGTACAAGAGGAATTATCTCTGAAGCTGCTACAATCAACACACATAAAAATGTACTCTGTTACGGTATTTACTGATTTAGATGTACAGGAATGATGTGTATCAAAGTGCAAATGTAGACAAAACATGTGTCTTTACTGAGTTCCTGTCCCAGGTGTACAGTGCAGATGGAGAGTTCTTGTTTAAATTTGGCTCTCATGGTGAAGGCAATGGCCAGTTCAATGCTCCCACTGGTGTGGCTGTGGATGCCAATGGAAACATCATTGTAGCTGACTGGGGTAACAGCAGAATACAGGTAAGACGGGCTGTAAGACATTCTGTTGACATCTCAACTTTAGGACCTGAAATGTATTTGTTCTTTGAAATTAGTTAACATTAAACTGCCATCCAAATCGCAGCAAATTTAAACCTGCAGATTTAAGTATCAGAGTATTTTGTTAACACAATAGTCTGCTATAGCATGAGCGCTAAAAACTCCAACTTTTGTGTTTTAATGTTTCAGGTGTTTGACAGCACAGGATCCTTCTTATCCTACATCAACACCTCAGCAGACCCGCTGTACGGCCCCCAGGGCCTCGCCCTCACCTCAGACGGACATGTGGCTGTTGCCGACTCCGGTAACCATTGCTTTAAGGTTTACAGATATCTGCAGTAAGCAGCAGAAAGACGTCGCTGACACAACTCCTGTTCAGTCAAGTTAATGTCACATACTGCTTGTGGACATAGAGCTGCAACAAACTGGCACATTTTATAAGTGGCTCCTAGTTTCTCAAATCAAATCCTTTCCATTTTGTCTGCACATACTTTTGAAGATTTAATATTCAGAGTTTAAGACAAAGAAATCTTGTAATTAAAATGTTTTTAAAGATAAAATAAGCTAGTTAATTCCAAAATTATAGCAGAAACTGACATCTCAGGAGACTCTTATGGTGAAATAAAGGTAATACAATTTTACAAGCAACTAAAGAATAAAACGTCCTCTAATGAGATATTTCCCTATCGGATCACTTATGGGCCATTGAATTCTCAAAACCTTAGTGTTTTTAACTCAGTCCTCTGAGGGAAAGTACACCAGAAATTAACCTCTGGAACAAGGCATTTCATTTCTATTTCTTATAAGTGTGATCTCACCAGTAGATGGCCTGCAGGTCTAAAGTTGGTGATACACTAGATTTTTTGGGCAATGCAGATAGGCTACACTCCCAGCAACCAGCAAACAAAGTGAAGCACAGAAGCAGAAGTCAAGTATCTGGTGAGAAGCTGATGCTTTGTGATTGAAATAACAGTGCTCAGGCCTTTTTTTAAACATTGTTACATGTCAGTGCATGCCAAAAAAATACCCTGTGGTCACTGCCTTAAAATTATTGCTCAATATACATACAAGAATACATGCAGACAGGAATGTGTTATTTTAAAGGAATTGTTTCTTATCCTTATTCTGCACCTTATCATATTGATCCTCCTCACAAG